TGAACTGAACTGAACTAGAACTGAACTAGAACTGAACTAGAACTGAACTAGAACTGAACTAGAACTGAACTAGAACTGAACTAGAACTGAACTAGAACTGAACTAGAACTGAACTAGAACTGAACTAGAACTGAACTAGAACTGAACTAGAACTGAACTAGAACTGAACTAGAACTGAACTAGAACTGAACTAGAACTGAACTAGAACTGAACTAGAACTGAACTAGAACTGAACTAGAACTGAACTAGAACTGAACTAGAACTGAACTAGAACTGAACTAGAACTGAACTAGAACTGAACTAGAACTGAACTAGAACTGAACTAGAACTGAACTAGAACTGAACTAGAACTGAACTAGAACTGAACTAGAACTGAACTAGAACTGAACTAGAACTGAACTAGAACTGAACTAGAACTGAACTAGAACTGAACTAGAACTGAACTAGAACTGAACTAGAACTGAACTAGAACTGAACTAGAACTGAACTAGAACTGAACTAGAACTGAACTAGAACTGAACTAGAACTGAACTAGAACTGAACTAGAACTGAACTAGAACTGAACTAGAACTGAACTAGAACTGAACTAGAACTGAACTAGAACTGAACTAGAACTGAACTAGAACTGAACTAGAACTGAACTAGAACTGAACTAGAACTGAACTAGAACTGAACTAGAACTGAACTAGAACTGAACTAGAACTGAACTAGAACTGAACTAGAACTGAACTAGAACTGAATTAGAACTGAACTAGAACTGAACTAGAACTGAACTAGAACTGAACTAGAACTGAACTAGAACTGAACTAGAACTGAACTAGAACTGAACTAGAACTGAACTAGAACTGAACTAGAACTGAACTAGAACTGAACTAGAACTGAACTAGAACTGAACTATAACTGAACTATAACTGAAACTAGAAACTGATCAAACGATTCAACATATATTTTTAACTATGACTGAAATCTAAAAAATCTTCAAAACTTGCGGGTACCTGTTTGGTAATCTGTTTTATATGCTGATCAATATTTGTTAATAGATTTAAAAGATCAATCATATAAATTATAAAATCAACATTTATTTAATAACTTTCGAAAATAAAATAATGAAATATAAGCTCCAAATAAACTATAATATATTGCATAAAAAAAAACAACAAAACAAAACACTCCCTCATCATCTAATACACAGCTGTAAAGAGGTGCTTGACTCTTGTACGATCAACGTAATATAGAGTGGAGTGACTTCATCGGTTTGATTTTTGTGTTTGCGTTTTATTGACAAAATTGTCAATTATTTTAAGTGCTTCAAGCGGAGAGGTTCTGTTATATATTTTTTTAAAATATTCATAATATATTTCAATATTTACTTTCTGTATAAATTATGAACTAAGCAAAATTTTGTGTTTGGCCTTATTGACCTGTTCTTTTATTTATTTTTTTTTTATTATTTTTACCCAAAACGTACTTGTACTTGATCGTTTAACTCAAATTTGTTTGCTTTTATTATTATTATTATTTTTACTACAATTTTTTCTACAATATATTTTTTAATTAATTCTCAGTTTTTGTGTTTTCTGGTTCATTTATTTTTGTTTTGCTAAATTTATTCAAAAAGTAAAAAATAAAATAATAACATAACAGTTTTTTTTTTCTTTTTATAGAAAATATTTCATGTTGTTAATAATTTTTAAAATAAATATTATTGTAATAAGTATTTTATTTTTGATTTTTATACTTTTTAAATAATCCATGCAAAAACAATTTGTTTTAATAGATATTTAATGTATATTATCAATATAGTGTATCGAAAACGTTTAGTCTATTTCGTAGAATTTTATGATTTTTTTAAATTTAAATTTCATATTGAAAATAGCAACAACAAAAATTGAGAAAAGTAATCAATTAACACATTGGGTTTTACTTTTTTATATAAAACAAAACTTATTTATTTTTGCACAGTAGCCACAAAAAAAAAAAATAAAATAAATGAAAACATTTTTATAAATGTTTGAAAATTTATTACACGTGTCCTAAATTTACACAGTGTGCCTCGCTATCCTAAGGTCAAGGTACAATACCCGAACAAGGCACACGACGAGTAAATAATTCAAAAAGTACTATTTGATGAACAAAAAAGTACCCTCCTTTAGATTGTCATTCACTTAAGGCCGTGTAGGTTTATTTTAATTCCTTTCGTGGGCTTCGATGAATGAAAAAGTACCAGAATGGTCCTTCTTAAAGATTCTTATTTAAACAGGTTCGTAAATATTTAGTTTTATATGTTTCGATACCATATAATAGGATATCAAAAGGTACCATCGGATGAACTAAAAAGTACCAAAATTGTTGCCCCTTACATATCCTCCTTCATTCGGGTCTGTGAATGCTTAGTTTTATGTTTCTATTAATATTCTATTAATATTACATAAAATTCAAAAAGTACCATTTGATAAATGAAAAAGCCACTCTCATAGATTCATATTTAAGACGGATCTTAGGTGAATTTTCCTTTTGGACGATATCGACCGAAATCTCCATTTAGATTCAATTGAGATTTCGATCGATATCCGTAAATATACTCTAGTCCAGAACTTATACTAGATTATATTCCAGACTATAGTATACTTTATAGATTAGAATCCGTTCCAATAGACCAGGACCATATTTTACAATATATTCCAGATTTTAATATGAACTATAGATTAGACTGTAGACTAGGCTATGGACCTGATTGCAAACAAGAGTCCAATATATCAATTAGACTATAGACCAGATTAGTCCAGCCTAACGTATAGCCAGTTAGTTAGTTAGTTAGTTAGTTAGTTAGTTAGTTAGTTAGTTAGTTAGTTAGTTAGTTAGTTAGTAGTTAGTTAGTTAGTTAGTTAGTTAGTTAGTTAGTTAGTTAGTTAGTTAGTTAGTTAGTTAGTTAGTTAGTTAGTTAGTTAGTTAGTTAGTTAGTTAGTTAGTAGTTAGTTAGTTAGTTAGTTAGTTAGTTAGTTAGTTAGTTAGTTAGTTAGTTAGTTAGTTAGTTAGTTAGTTAGTTAGTTAGTTAGTTAGTAGTTAGTTAGTTAGTTAGTTAGTTAGTTAGTTAGTTAGTTAGTTAGTTAGTAGTTAGTTAGTTAGTTAGTTAGTTAGTTAGTTAGTTAGTTAGTTAGTTAGTTAGTTAGTTAGTTAGTAGTTAGTTAGTTAGTTAGTTAGTTAGTTAGTTAGTTAGTTAGTTAGTTAGTTAGTTAGTTAGTTAGTTAGTTAGTTAGTTAGTTAGTTAGTTAGTTAGTTAGTTAGTTAGTTAGTTAGTTAGTTAGTTAGTTAGTTAGTTAGTTAGTTAGTTAGTTAGTTAGTTAGTTAGTTAGTTAGTTAGTTAGTTAGTTAGTTAGTAGTTAGTTAGTTAGTTAGTTAGTTAGTTAGTTAGTTAGTTAGTAGTTAGTTAGTTAGTTAGTTAGTTAGTTAGTTAGTTAGTTAGTTAGTTAGTTAGTTAGTTAGTTAGTTAGTTAGTTAGTTAGTTAGTTAGTTAGTTAGTTAGTTAGTTAGTTAGTTAGTTAGTTAGTTAGTTAGTTAGTTAGTTAGTTAGTTAGTTAGTTAGTTAGTTAGTTAGTTAGTTAGTTAGTAGTTAGTTAGTTAGTTAGTTAGTTAGTTAGTTAGTTAGTTAGTTAGTTAGTTAGTTAGTTAGTTAGTTAGTTAGTTAGTAGTTAGTTAGTTAGTTAGTTAGTTAGTTAGTAGTTAGTTAGTTAGTTAGTTAGTTAGTTAGTTAGTTAGTTAGTTAGTTAGTTAGTTAGTAGTTAGTTAGTTAGTTAGTTAGTTAGTTAGTTAGTTAGTTAGTTAGTTAGTTAGTTAGTTAGTTAGTTAGTTAGTAGTTAGTTAGTTAGTTAGTTAGTTAGTTAGTTAGTTAGTTAGTTAGTTAGTTAGTTAGTTAGTTAGTTAGTTAGTTAGTTAGTTAGTTAGTTAGTTAGTTAGTTAGTTAGTTAGTTAGTTAGTTAGTTAGTTAGTTAGTTAGTTAGTTAGTTAGTTAGTTAGTTAGTTAGTTAGTTAGTTAGTTAGTTAGTTAGTTAGTTAGTTAGTTAGTTAGTTAGTTAGTTAGTTAGTTAGTTAGTTAGTTAGTTAGTAGTTAGTTAGTTAGTTAGTTAGTTAGTTAGTTAGTTAGTTAGTTAGTTAGTTAGTTAGTTAGTTAGTTAGTTAGTTAGTTAGTTAGTTAGTTAGTTAGTTAGTTAGTTAGTTAGTTAGTTAGTTAGTTAGTTAGTTAGTTAGTTAGTTAGTTAGTTAGTTAGTTAGTTAGTTAGTAGTTAGTTAGTTAGTTAGTAGTTAGTTAGTTAGTTAGTTAGTTAGTTAGTTAGTTAGTTAGTTAGTTAGTAGTTAGTTAGTTAGTAGTTAGTTAGTTAGTTAGTTAGTTAGTTAGTTAGTTAGTTAGTTAGTTAGTTAGTTAGTTAGTTAGTTAGTTAGTTAGTTAGTTAGTTTAGTTAGTTAGTTAGTTAGTTAGTTAGTTAGTAGTTAGTTAGTTAGTAGTTAGTTAGTAGTTAGTTAGTTAGTTAGTTATAAATCGGTCTTTAATAAGTTGTTGGAATATTATGCCCGATTATACTTTCTTACTTGTTACAACTATTTCAAACTTTCGATGTTGTCAGCTCGACTATAATATAGGGTTTTTCATAACTCAAGTTTCTACGACCCTAGTTTTGTATCCATCGAAATAATCACTGCAGTTAATGGACCAGATAATGATCACAAAAAAAAATATATAATACAATTACAAAATTATGGAAATTATCCATAAATTGTTATAAATGTTGCTTGTTCATTGTACAAAAATATTCTCATATTTTGTAAAATATTTCACTAATTATTTTAATCATGTCTACTTTACTAGTAAATATTTGCTTTTAGCTCTGCTAAAATAAAATCACTTTAATAGCTTCGTTTAAAAAAACAAAATTAAATTTATTTTTCAAAAAAAAAAAAAAAAAATCTATTAAATTTCTATTGTTTTTTTCTTCTATTAATTGCAGGGTTCGCGTGTCAGTACTATTAATGATTGGCTACAAATCAAAATCGGTGGCGATGAGGAGGTGAAAAAGAAAAAGAGAAAACAAAAATTGAATCGCATAAAATCGACAAAATACACATTCATCACATTTCTGCCGCAAAATCTACTGGAACAATTTCGGCGAATAGCGAATTTTTATTTTTTAGTCATGACCATTATATCGCTATTAATTGGTGAGTATCTGGGTAGTAGTAATAGTTAAATTTAAATTAAGGTTTTTTGATTTATTGATGAAATTGAGAAAATTTAATTTTGGTTAAGATTTGAATATTGTTGGAAAAAATGCTGAGTAAGGTTTAGTTTGAGGCGTGTAAACGAGAAAAGTTTTGCAAATAATTTATTTAATTGGTTCTAGTCTCTGCTGTAAGGCGATAAAGTTTATATCAAGAGTTTTTGAAATTAGTACGAACTTTTCGTAGATAAAATCAATTTATTATAAATTAAAATTTATTAATTTTTGTCTTAATTGTGTAATTCACTAACTTAGTGCAAAATCGTTTCACATTTTAAAACAAGGTCACTTTTGATTTTCTTTGCGAACAAATAGTAAAAATCTATTAAGTGTTAATGTCAATATTTTTCAGTTTTAGTAATTGTGTAATTAAACAAAATGAAAACTTGTTAATTAAAAATTTATCAATTTTGAATGCAAAAAAGAAAAATATTTTATTTAGATTACCTCGGTCCAGAATAGCGTCTGATATTTAAATAGTCTGAACAATATATTATAGTCTGGAATGTAGACTAGACTATAATCTGGATTAATGATTAGATTAAGTAGTACTTTATTTCGGAAAATCATCGAATATTTTTTAAAAGTAGTGATCAATATTGTAAGGCATCATATTGTTGGACATATACATACATATGAACCTAATATTTTATTTAATTTACTCACGGTCAAGGTCAAGATACATATGTATAGTGGTCTAATAATCTTACAGTATTTTTATTTTCACTGCAAACTAGTTTTCATAAAAAATTACTTCAACAGCAAAATTTTACATTTAAGTGCAAATTTAATTTTAACTTTTATGAATGAGGAAAAAAAACATTTTATAAGTGTTTAGACACAAACTTCCTATATGGTAGTAAAGTGCTAATATCTCAAGTATTTTAACAGATAAATGATAAGTGACTTTTTATTGAACGACTATAAATTTAAGACTCTTATAGTTGGTAAGGACAGACTAATATGTATTTTCATAATCGTTTGAACAGTTTTTAGGCTAAAATTATTATACAATAGACTACAATAGTTCAGACTGTTGACTAAATTATAGTCCAAATTATAGACTAGACTATAATCAAGACTATATTTCAGACTATATTTCAGACTATAGTCCAGATTATAGATTAGACTATAGTTCAGACTATAGGTTAAATTATAGACCAGATTACAGAATAGGCTATATTGAAGACTATATTTCAGACTTTAGTCCAAACTATAGACTAGTCTATAGTCCAGACTATATTCTAGACTGAAGATTAGATTATAGTAGAGACTATAAACAAGACTATAGTCCAGACTACAGACAAGACTATAGTCCAGACTATACACAAGACTACAGTCCTGACTATAGACAAGACTATAGACAATACTATAGGTAAGACTGTAGACTGTAGTCGAAACTATAATCTAGATTATAGACAATACTACAGTCCAGTACCCCGTTTCTGTATTTTTCACATCGAGAAAAATTGTCGGAAAATTTGTGATCATCCTGTATAAAACAGGGCGAACATAAGAAATTTAAATATTTGTTGTTAAATTTTAACGCGTACATTTTGAAAATAAACTGAATAACCCTGTTAAAAAGTGGAAGACCATCATATTTTTATTTTTTTCTCGATTCGAGAAAAATACAGAAACGAGGCACAGACTATAGACAAGACTGTAGTCCAGACTATATACAATACTATAGTGCAGACTATAGATAAGACTATATAGTCCAGACTATACACAAGACTACGGTCCAGACTATAGACAAGACTATAGTCCAGACTATAGATAAGACTATATAGTCCAGACTATAGACAAGACTATAGTCCAGACTATAGACAAGACTACAGTTCAGACTATAGACAAGACTATAGGTAAGACTGTAGACTGTGGTCCAAACTATAATCTATAGTGCAGACTATAGATAATACTATATTTCAGACTATAGGCAAGACTATAGTCGAAACTATAGACAAGACTATAGTCCATAATATAGACATGACTATAGTCCAGACTATATTCCAGACTATAGACAAGACTATAGTCCAGACTATACACAAGAGTACACTCCAGACTATAGGCAAGACTATAGTCCAGACTATAGACAAGACTATGGTCCAGAATATAGACAAGACTATAGTCCAGACTATAAACAAGACTATAGTCCAGACTATAGACAATACTATAGTGCAGACTATAGACAAGACTATAGTCTAGACTATAGAGAAGACTATAGTCCAGACTATAGACAAGACTACAGTCCAGACTATAGAGAAGACTATAGTCCAGACTATAGAGAAGACTATAGTCCAGACTATAGACAAGACTTTAGTCCAGACTATAGACAAGACTACAGTTCAGACTATAGACAAGACTATAGGTAAGACTGTAGACTGTGGTCGAAACTATGATCTATAGTGCAGACTATAGATAATACTATATTTCAGACTATAGGCAAGACTATAGTCGAAACTATAGACAAGACTATAGTCCATAATATAGACATGACTATAGTACAGACTATAGACAAGACTATAGTCCAGACTATACACAAGAGTACACTCCAGACTATAGGCAAGACTATAGACAAGACTATAGTCTAGACTATAGAGAAGACTATAGTCCAGACTATAGACTACACTATAGTCCAGACTATAGACTACACTATAGTCCAGACTATAGACTACACTATAGTCCAGACAATAGACTACACTATAGTCCAGACTATAGACTACACTATAGTCCAGACTATAGACTACACTATAGTCCAGACTATAGACTACACTATAGTCCAAACTATAGACTACACTATTGTCCAGACTATAGACTACACTATAGTCTAGACTATAGACTACACTATAGTCTAGACTATAGACAATACTATATTCCAGACTGTAGACAAGACTATAGTCAGAAATATAGACTATAGTCCAGACTATGTACTGGACTAAAGTATATACAAGACTATAGACAAGACTATAGTCTAGTCAATAGTTTGAACTATATTTTACTCTATAGTCTGGAATATAGACTATAGTCCAGACTATATAGTAGACTATACCGAGTTTACAGTATAGAATGGGCTGTGGACTAGTCTGGAATATAAGCAACTGCTAGATTCTTTTGTTGTACTAAACCTATGTTAATCAATTCAAATAACAGCTGAAGTCATTAGTACGCTAATAGACTACTGCGACTTTTTATTATGTTTTTGTCATTTGCTTTGATTTGACATTTGCTCTTATAAAGTTATGTTTGTTTTTTCAATTATTATTATTGTTTGCCATTTGCTCTCGTTAATCTTTCAGAAATCGTGACAAATTGTGGGATCTATTTGATGTGTGGGATTTATTCATAATTAATTTGTTTTTTTTTTTTCAACAATTGTTTCTATTCAAATGCGGATAACAAACACTAATAATTGAGCTTAACAATGTTATTTAATTGTGTTCACATTAGATTTGGAAGATAATTTATATATTAGACACGTACTTTGGGTTAATGGGGAATTTGGTTTAGGAAATATTAGATTAAAAGGGGAAGCAAAAAAAAAAAAAAAAAAATTTGAAGAGAAAAAAGGTCAGACAGATTGAATTACATTAGATGTTTAATAGTAATTATGCTAGATAATGAAATAATTTTAATAATGATGTAATTAAGTATAGAAATTTAAAATTTTTGATTTATCATAAAATTGTAGATTTTAGTGTTTAAAAGAAAAAATTATATCTCGAAAACCTTTTAATTACAGACAGTCCAGTATCACCAATGACATCACTACTACCATTAGTATTTGTAATAGCTGTGACGGCTGCCAAACAAGGTTATGAAGACTTTTTGCGCTATAAAACCGATAATATAGTCAATTGTTCGCCAGGTGAGTAGCCAGATAAAAAAAGGAATCAAACCCAAGAAAAATGTTATCAAACTTTAAACTCTTTCAATTTCCTTTGCAGTAACCGTTATACGTAACGGTGTGGAGGAACATATACAATCGCAATATGTAGCCCCTGGAGACTTAGTGTTAGTGGAAAGAGATTGTGATGTACCCTGTGATTTGGTATTAATACGTTCCTCAGATCCTCATGGGAAATGTTTTATAACCACCGCCAATTTAGATGGTGAATCCAATTTAAAGACTTTAATGGTTCCCCGAGATCTTCCCCTTGTAGATCTGGATAAAATGCATAAATTGGGTGTTATAGAGTGTGAAAGTCCCAAGACTGATTTATATAGTTTTAATGGTAAAATTGAGTTGGCCGGTTCGGAGGGTAAAGTATTACCCTTAACAGCCGAGAATGTACTACTAAGAGGTTCGAGAGTAAAAAATACCGAATGTGTTATAGGCTGTGCTGTTTACACGGGCATGACCACTAAATTACAATTAAATTCCCGCCTAACACGCAATAAATCTGCTTCCAGTGAAGTATACATCAATCGCTTTTTAATCTTCATTTTAGTGGTACTCATAGTCATTGTCACCGTTTTATATTTCCTTAAAAGATACGATGAAATGTTTGTCATACCTCATCTGGCCTATTTGGGTCCACCGGCCGATAGTTATAGTGTTAAACAATTTCTTCAGGATTATTTATCATTTTTGATATTATTCAATTATTTGATACCCATTTCCCTGTATGTAACCATTGAAATGCATCGTGTTTTGGGCGGCCTATTTATGGAATGGGATACTCAACTATACGATGAGGCTACCGATCAACCTTGTATTGTTAATACTTCAAATTTAAATGAAGAATTGGGTCAAATCAATATATTATTTTCGGATAAAACCGGTACTTTGACCAAAAACGAAATGATATTTCAGCAGTGTTCGATAGCGGGACGGAAGTATTTGTATAAAAAGACGCGTCTGCAGGAGGAGGGTCAAACGTTTGAGGTGGACATTAATAAGTTTAATGTAAGTAGTTTAAATATTTGTAAATATTATTGGACTTATAGTCCAAATAGTTGACTATAGTCCACATAATAAACTAGAGTATAGATCAATCTATAGTCCAGATTATAGACTAAATTATAGTCCAGATTATATAATAGACCATAGTCCAGACTGTACACAAGACTATATATAGTCCAGACTACAGACAAGACTATTGTCCAGTCTAGAGGCAATAGTATAGTCCAGACTATTGACAAGACTATAGTCCAGACTACAGACAAGACTATTGTCCAGACTAGAGACAAGACTATAGTTCAGACTATAGACAGGACTATAGACAAGACTATTGACAAGACTATAGTCCAGACTATTGGCAGGACTATAGTCCAGACTATCGACAAGACTACAGTACAGACTATAGACAAGAATATAGACAAGACTATATACAAAACGATTATCCAGACTATAGACAAAACTATAGTCCAGACTATAGACAAGACTATAGTCCAGACTATAGACAAAACTATAGTCTAGACTATAGACAAAACTATAGTCTATAAGACAAATCTATAGCCCAGACTATAGACAAATCTATAGTCCAGACTATAGACAAAACTATAGTCCAGACTATAGACAAAACTATAGTCCAGACTATAGACAAAACTATAGTCCAGTCTATAGACAAGACTTAGATTATAATCAACACTATAGACAAGACTATAGTCCAGATTATAGAAAATACTTTAGCCCAGACTATAGACATAACATAAGACTACAGATTAGATTATAGTCCAAACTATAGACAAGACTATAGTCCAGATTATAGAAAATACTATAGCCCAGACTATAGACGAGACTATAGAAGAGAATATAGTCCAGAGTGTAGACAAAACCATAATGCAGACTATAGACAAGACCATAGTCCAGACTACGGACAAAACTATAGTTCAGACTATGGACAAGACTAGAGTCCAGACTATGGACTATACAATAGGCTAGTGTGTAGATAATTCTAGACTATAGACTACAGTTTAGTCTAGACTTTTTACTGAACTATTATCAACTGAAATTTATTTGAATTTTTCTTCCATTCTTTCCAGAAAGATCAGAAAAACTTCTTCCAAGCTTTAACCATTTGCCATACGGTGCAAGTGGCTGGTGATATGAACAGCAATAATGGTGATAAACAAATAAATGGCACAGAGGCTGAAGTAAAAACTCCAAATGCTGCACCTACTACAGGTGCCAGTGCACTATCGAAAATGTATTCGATATCGGACATAACCGAAGAAAGTCATAATTCTAGTCAACAAAGTGATGTCAATGCTATGGAGACATCACTATCCACAGATCCTAATGGTAGTCCTAGTGTTAAGAACTCAATACAAGTGACTTCGGATGTTAATCCTTTATTGGATGAAAAGGTCGAAAGACGTAAAAGGCCACAGATTGTTAAAAGAAGTCCTAATTTTACGCGTACAAATACAAGAGTACACCCGATGTCAATGCCTCCGCAGGGTATGGAAATGGTTAATGGTGTTGGTGTGTCAGGAGGTGATGGTGTCGAAGGGAGGCAAGTTATGTTTCCCACCTCCTTGCAAAGTATACCCACGGGTAGACCTTTGTCTATGCAATTTAAACGTTCTACCTCAGAAATGGATTTACCAGAATATGGTGGTGCTAACGGTGGAGGCGGTGCCATGGGGGGCGTGGGTGCTTTGGGTCATCGTAGATCTCAATCGTATGGAGCTCCTGGTGCTTATATTACTCAGACAGGTAATACTTGAGGATTTTTTTTTTGTTGGAAAATATTTTTATTCAATAATGTTTTTCCTCTTAGCTAATACCCCAGGAGTTGTTTATCGCACTAGCAGTACAGCATCCAGAGAATCTTATGCTGCCCCCAATTTCCAAAGACAACCCACCATACTTATTAGAGCAGAGTCAATGAGAAGGAAAAATGAAATCGAGCAAGTTGTACAGTAAGTTATTGGGTTAAATAATGAAAATCAAAATTTTTATTGAGGATCTCTGTTCTCTTCTCAGCACCTTAGATTATCAAGCTTCCAGTCCCGATGAGAAGGCCCTGGTCGAGGCCTGTGCCCATTTGGGCCTTGTCTATATAGGTGATGATGATGAGGTGTTAAAAATTCGCGTCACTCCGCCCCACATGGACTACTCGCGACCCTTCAGTGTGGGAAAGGTAAACGAAATGAATTTCGATCGCCTGCACGTCTTGGAATTCACTTCCGATCGCAAACGAATGAGTGTTATAATTAAGGATGAAAATGGTACTAAATGGATTTATACAAAAGGTGCTGAAAGTTATGTCTTTCCTTTGTGCAGCAATAACTCTAGAGATTTGGTGGCTAAAACCGATACTCATATCAGTGATTTTGCACGTTTGGGTCTTAGGACACTGGCTATAGCGAGGCGTAAGATTGGCGATGAAGAGTATAGAGAATTTTTAGCAGAGCTAAATGAAGCTAATAGTTCGTTGGAGAATCGTAAGGAGTTGAGTGAGAAGTGTTATGCGAAGATAGAGAGCAGTGAGTATTTTTAGAAAATAATAGTTGAAGAATTCTCTTACAAAAGAATCTTTAGAAAATTTCTCGTTTCTATAAAAATTTTCGGAAAATTTCTCTTTTCTTTAGAAAATTTTCGGAAAATTTCTCTTTCTTTAGAAAATTTTCGGAAAATTTCTCTTTTCTTTACAAAATTTTCGGAAAATTTCTCTTTTCTTTAGAAAATTTTCGGAAAATTTCTCTTTTCTTTAGAAAATTTTCGGAAAATTTCTCTTTTCTTTAGAAAATTTTCGGAAAATTTTCTCTTTTCTTTAGAAAATTTTCGGAAAATTTCTCTTTTCTTTAGAAAATTTTCGGAAAATTTCTCCTTTCTTTAGAAAATTTTCGGAAATTTCTCTTTTCTTTAGAAAATTTTCGGAAAATTTCTCTTTTCTTAGAAAATTTTCGGAAATTTCTCTTTTCTATAGAAAATTTTCGGAAATTTCTCTTTTCTATAGAACATTTTCGGAAATTTCTCTTTTCTATAGAACATTTCGGAAATTTCTCTTTTCTATAGAAAATTTTCGGAAATTTCTCTTTTCTATAGAACATTTTCGGAAATTTCTCTTTTCTATAGAACATTTTCGGAAAATTTCTCTTTTCTATAGAAAATTTTCGGAAAATTTCTCTTTTCTATAGAAAATTTTCGGAAAATTTCTCTTTCTATAGAAAATTTTCGGAAAATTTCTCTTTTCTATAGAAAATTTTCGGAAAATTTCTCTTTTCTATAGAAAATTTTCGGAAAATTTCTCTTTCTATAGAAATTTTTCGGAAAATTTCTCTTTTCTATAGAAAATTTTCGGAAAATTTCTCTTTTCTATAGAAATTTTTCGGAAAATTTCTCTTTTCTATAGAAAATTTTCGGAAAATTTCTCTTTTCTATAGAAATTTTCGGAAAATTTCTCTTTTCTATAGAAATTTTTCGGAAAATTTCTCTTTTCTATAGAAATTTTCGGAAAATTTCTCTTTTCTATAGAAATTTTTCGGAAAATTTCTCTTTTCTATAGAAATTTTTCGGAAAATTTCTCTTTTCTATAGAAATTTTTCGGAAAATTTCTCTTTTCTATAGAAATTTTTCGGAAAATTTCTCTTTTCTATAGAAATTTTTCGGAAAATTTCTCTTTTCTATAGAAATTTTTCGGAAAATTTCTCTTTTCTATAGAAATTTTTCGGAAAATTTCTCTTTTCTATAGAAATTTTTCGGAAAATTTCTCTTTTCTATAGAAATTTTCGGAAAATTTCTCTTTCTTTAGAAATTTTTCGGAAAATTTCTCTTTTCTTTAGAAATTTTCGGAAAATTTCTCTTTTCTTTAGAAAATTTTTCGGAAAATTTCTCTTTTCTTTAGAAAATTTTCGGAAAATTTCTCTTTTCTTTAGAAAATTTTCGGAAAATTTCTCTTTTCTTTAGAAAATTTTCGGAAAATTTCTCTTTTCTTTAGAAAATTTTCGGAAAATTTCTCTTTTCTTTAGAAAATTTTCGGAAAATTTCTCTTTTCTTTAGAAAATTTTCGGAAAATTTCTCTTTTCTTTAGAAAATTTTCGGAAAATTTCTCTTTTCTTTAGAAATTTTCGGAAAATTTCTCTTTTCTTTAGAATATTTTCGGAAAATTTCTCTTTTCTTTAGAATATTTTCGGAAATTTCTCTTTTCTTTAGAATATTTTCGGAAAATTTCTCTTTTCTTTAGAATATTTCGGAAAATTTCTCTTTTCTTTAGAAAATTTTCGGAACATTTCTCTTTTCTTTAGAAAATTTTCGGAACATTTCTCTTTTCTTTAGAAAATTTCGGAACATTTCTCTTTTCTTTAGAAAATTTTCGGAACATTTCTCTTTTCTTTAGAAAATTTTCGGAACATTTCTCTTTTCTTTAGAAAATTTTCGGAACATTTCTCTTTTCTTTAGAAATTTTCGGAACATTTCTCTTTTCTTTAGAAAATTTTCGGAACATTTCTCTTTTTCTTAGAAAATTTTCGGAACATTTCTCTTTTCTTTAGAAAATTTTCGGAACATTTCTCTTTACTTTAGAAAATTTTCGGAAAATTTTTCTTTTCTATAGAAATTTTTCTTTTCTATTGAAATTTTTCTTTCTATTGAAAATTTTTTCTTTTCTATTGAAATTTCCTCAAAAATTTGAATTAATTAAGAGAGAGTAAAAGTTATTATCTTTTTTTAACAGATTTAGATTTATTGGGAGCCACCGCTGTTGAGGATGCCTCTGCAGGACGAAGTGGCCGATACTTTAATATCCCTACAAAAAGCCGGTATTAAAATCTGGGTCTTGACTGGAGACAAAGTTGAAACTGCTCTTAACATAGCGCTCTCTTGTGGTCATATACCCCAAAATGCCTTCAAATACTTCATCATTGAATGTTCACGTAAAGAAGACATGTTGACACATTTGAACTCTCTCGATCGGGAAATAATTTTCGGCATGGGTCGTGAATGTGCTCTACTTATCGATGGTAAAAGTTTAGCTGTAGCTTTGTCTGAGACACCCAATGAATTTCGTGATGTGGCCATTAAATGTACAGCGGTATTATGTTGTCGCTTAAGTCCTTTGCAAAAAAGTGAAGTGGTATCGTTGATCAAGACAGCACCTCAGAATTATAATACTGCTGCCATAGGTGATGGTGCCAATGATGTTAGCATGATACAAGAGGCTCATGTGGGTATTGGTATAATGGGTAAAGAGGGTCGCCAGGCAGCACGTTGTGCTGATTTTGCTTTTGCCAAATTTTGTATGTTAAAAAGACTATTGCTGGTTCATGGTCATTATCATACGACACGTCTATCGTTTCTGGTTTTGTACTTTTCTATAAAAACATATTCTTTATGGGTATTATGTTCCTATTCCAATTTCATACGCTATTCTCCTCCTCGTCGGTCTATGATTCTTTGTTCTTGACTCTATATAATGTGATATATACTTCGTTGCCGATTTTCTTTATATCTCTAACGGAGAAAACCTATACGGAGGAGACGTTGATGAGGTAAGTTTCGAAAATGTTCAAAAGAAGTAAGATATATTTTAAAGTTCTGTTTTTCTTGTAGGGAACCTGAGCTATACAAGAAAAACACCAATAATAAACAATTACAGTGGCCCTATTTCCTGGCTTGGATCCTTTATGCTGTATATCATACCTTGATCTGTTTCTATTTTGCCTTCTTTGTTTTCTCTACCAATGATGTTATACTTAATGTGGGACAAACGGCTGAGTTTTCTTGCTTTGGCACTCTGCTGATCCAACTAGTGGTGATAGTGGGAAATTTGAAATTATGGCTAGAATCCAAATATCTGAGCTATTGGTATATAGTCACTATTATTGGATCAATATTGGCATTTATGATTACCACTGTTGTTTACAATGTTATAGATTTGTAAGTTTTCAAAAAATTATAAAACATTTTCCGAATTTTTTGTAAAATTTAATTTTCCGTTTTAGCCACTACGACACCGATATCTATTGGGCCTATAATAAACTTTTGAGCTCTATACCCGTTTGGCTGTTTTGTATTGTTACCACTGTGGCCTGTTTGCTGCCCGATTTTACCATCCGTATGGCCAAGAGAGGCTTAAATCTTCCCCAACGTAGATTCTTTCCGGGCAAAGAACGTTTACGTTTATTGCAATTGAGACGTAAAGTGGAATCAACCCATTTATAGGGTTTAAGAGAGAGAGAGAGAGAGAGAGAGAGGTAGAGTGTGTAATGAAAGTAAAGTCGTAAAGTATTGCTTTAAGAAAGTATTGAATTTTAACTGTTATTTAGGTTTAAGTTATTTTTTTTGTATTATTTATAGTTAAAATACGATAAGTTGTTTGTAATATGTTATTAGCTTGTAAGAGTCTATTCAGTGCCAAAAAATAGTTTTTTAAGAAAATTTTATTAATTTATTTTATACCATGACAAATCAAGTGCTGTAATAAAGATTCCATTTGAAATATTGGACCTAGCTCTGTTCCGAAAACATTTTCGGATTCAGTATAGATTTTATTCTTAAAAGACGAATATCAATTTCCCGAAATAATAGTGCAAATTGTTCAAAATAAAAAAAATCGGGAATTTTGATGAAGCAATGGACCTAGGTCTATTCTGAGTCCCGGATTCAACATGTGAATTTACTAGAAAGGTGAGTTTCCAGCCCTGATTCGGCCAGTAGTTTTCGAGATTTATGTTATGTTGTGGGTTCTTGTCTTGACTATTAAAAAACATTTACTAGCCAAGACAGGAACTTCAAATATTAGAAAATCTTGATATGTAATGAAATTTCGTGGGATATTGGGTTCCAAATTTTTGAGCTGAAATTTTTAAGAAATATTGGACCTAGCTCAATTCTGAAAACATTTCGGATTTCAGCATAGATTTTAGTCTTAACTGACAAATTTCAGTTCCCTCGGCCTTAAGATCCCAAAAAAATAGTACAAATTGTTCAATATAAAAAAATTTCAGGAATTTTGATGAAACAATGGACCTAGGTCCATCATTTTATCGCATAATTTTCTTAAATTTCCTCTACATTTATGGGTTCTTGTCTTATGTATAGTAAATAATTTGCTACCTAAGGCAAGATCAGAACCATTACAGAACAAAAACTGAAACTAGAACTGAAGAGAATTGATCTAAAACTGAAGTGGAATTGTTTCAGATATTGAACTGAATAAAATACTAAAAAATGTAGTTTATTTGTATCTTTATTTCGGATTGTTGTTATAATCTTAAGTATACATACATCTATTTGTATTGGCTTTATGCGATGTTTAATAAGCCTGGTTGTGATCCCATCATCATGATAGATGCTACCTACAGTTTCCAGTGGATCCACTGTAGAATCTGTTACATGCTCACCTTTAAGATCTAGTTTTAAAAAACCTTGACCAAGATAAAAAAACGCTTTGGATATACAAAATCAGGGCTACTCGGGGTCAGGTAACTCACCACCCATACACAGCATTGAAGTTTAGAAGAGTAAAAAAAAACGATTGTCTAGAAATGAGGCTCTTCACTTGTTTTAAAACAAATATTTATAGTCGGACATGACAGACCATATAATACCCTACACCAGTGATGACGTTACAAATTTTGATTATTTGTTTAATAATAAAGTATTTAATTTCTATTTTACCTTAAAACAGACATATTTTAAAAAGTTTTTGATAAAAAAAGAGATTTCAAAAATAGGTGGTATATGGGGGCAGGAGGTTAATATGGTCCTATCCTTATAAAGTTTAGTAGAAGGATTTTCGTCTACGTTAGTTATTTATGCGTAATATTAGTGTTTATAAAAGAATTTCAAGTCATTTCTGAAAGTATGGGGAAAAGGGTGGAATGAGGCCCGACTTTTGAAGTGATACAAAACAGTTAACGTAAATATGAGCTCAAAAGCCCTATTCGGGGAGTTAGTTAGTTAGTTAGTTAGTTAGTTAGTTAGTTAGTTAGTTAGTTAGTTAGTTAGTTAGTTAGTTAGTTAGTTAGTTAGTTAGTTAGTTAGTTAGTTAGTTAGTTAGTTAGTTAGTTAGTTAGTTAGTTAGTTAGTTAGTTAGTTAGTTAGTTAGTTAGTTAGTTAGTTAGTTAGTTAGTTAGTTAGTTAGTTAGTTAGTTGTTAGTTAGTTAGTTAGTTAGTTAGTTAGTTAGTTAGTTAGTTAGTTAGTTAGTTAGTTAGTTAGTTAGTAGTTAGTTAGTTGTTAGTAGTTAGTTAGTTAGTTAGTTAGTTGTAGTTAGTTAGTTAGTTAGTTAGTTAGTTAGTTAGTTAGTTAGTTAGTTAGTTAGTTAGTTAGTTAGTTAGTTAGTTAGTTAGTTAGTTAGTTAGTTAGTTAGTTAGTTAGTTAGTTAGTTAGTTAGTAGTTAGTAGTTAGTTAGTTAGTTAGTTAGTTAGTTAGTTAGTTAGTTAGTTAGTAGTTAGTTAGTTAGTTAGTTAGTTAGTTAGTTAGTTAGTTAGTTAGTTAGTTAGTTGTTAGTTAGTTAGTTAGTTAGTTAGTTAGTTAGTTAGTAGTTAGTTAGTTAGTTAGTTAGTTAGTTAGTTAGTTAGTTAGTTAGTTAGTTAGTTAGTTAGTTAGTTAGTTAGTATAGTTAGTTAGTTAGTTAGTTAGTTAGTTAGTTAGTTAGTTAGTTAGTTAGTTAGTTAGTTAGTAGGGTGATCGATTTTTCTACATTTTCCAAAAACCGGGTTTCGAATAGTTCGAATAGTTGAAATTTAAAAAAACCGGTTGATATTTTTCAAATTCAGAAAAAACCGGTTAACCGGTTTTTCATTATAAATAAAAATATATATTTTAGTTAGTTAGTTAGTTAGTTAGTTAGTAGTTAGTGTTAGTTAGTTAGTTAGTTAGTTGTTAGTTAGTTAGTTAGTTAGTTAGTTAGTTAGTTAGTTAGTTAGTTTAGTTAGTTCGTTAGTTAGTTAGTTAGTTAGTTAGTTAGTTTAGTTAGTTAGTTAGTTAGTTAGTAGTTAGTTAGTTAGTTAGTTAGTTAGTTAGTTAGTTTAGTTAGTTAGTTAGTTCGTTAGTTAGTTAGTTAGTTAGTTAGTTTCGTTGTTAGTTAGTTAGTTGTTAGTTAGTTAGTTCTTCGTTTAGTTAGTTCGTTAGTCGTTCGTTCGTTCGTTCGTTAGTTCGTTCGTTTTGTTCGTTTTCGTTCGTTCGTTCGTTCGTTTCGTTCGTTCGTTCGTTCGTTTTCGTTAGTTCGTTCGTTGTTCGTTCGTTCGTTCTTCGTTGTTCGTTCGTTTCGTTTTCGTTCGTTCGTTCGTTTCGTTCGTTTCGTTAGTTCGTTAGTTAGTTTTTCGTTAGGGTGATCGATTATTCGACATTTTCCAAACCGGGTTTCGAATAGTTCGAATAGTTGAATTTAAAAAAACCGGTTGATATTTTTCAAATTCAGAAAAAACCGGTTAACCGTTTTTCATTATAAATAAAAATATATTTTAGTTGTAAGTTAGTTAGTTAGTTTAGTTAGTTCGTTTAGTTAGTTTAGTTAGTAGTTAGTTCGTTAGTTCGTTCGTTAGTTCGTTCGTTCGTTCGTTCGTTTCGTTTCGTTAGTTCGTTAGTTCGTTCGTTCGTTCAGTTCGTTCGTTCGTTTCGTTCGTTCGTTCGTTCGTTCGTTCGTTCGTTTCGTTCTTCGTTCGTTCGTTCGTTAGTTCGTTCGTTCGTTCGTTCGTTTTTTTTTCGTTCGTTCGTTCGTTCGTTCGTTCGTTTCGTTCGTTGTTCGTTCGTTCGTTCGTTCGTTCTTCGTTCGTTCGTTAGTTCGTTCGTTCGTTCGTTCGTTCGTTTCGTTCGTTCGTTCGTTCGTTCTTCGTTCGTTCTTCGTTGTTCGTTCGTTGTTCGTTCGTTCGTTCGTTCTTTCGTTCGTTCGTTCGTTCGTTCGTTCGTTCGTTCGTTCGTTTCGTTCTTTCGTTCTTCGTTCGTTCGTTAGTTCGTCGTTCGTTCGTTCGTTCGTTCGTTCGTTCTTCGTTCGTTTTTCGTTCGTTCGTTCGTTCGTTCTTCGTTCGTTCGTTCGTTCGTTCGTTCTTCGTTCGTTCGTTCGTTCGTTCGTTCGTTCGTTCGTTCGTTCGTTCGTTTTCGTTCGTTCGTTTTTTCGTTCGTTCTTCGTTCTTCGTTCGTTCGTTGTTCGTGTTGTTCGTTCGTTCGTTCGTTCGTTCGTTCGTTCGTTCGTTCGTCGTTCGTTCGTTCGTTTTTCGTTCGTTCGTTTCGTTCGTTCGTTCGTTCGTTCGTTCGTTCTTCGTTCGTTCGTTCGTTCGTTCGTTCGTTCGTTCGTTCGTTTCGTTCGTTCTTCGTTTCGTTCGTTCGTTCGTTCGTTCGTTCGTTCGTTCGTTCGTTCTTCGTTCGTTCGTTCGTTCGTTCGTTCGTTCTTTCGTTCGTTCGTTCGTTCGTTTCGTTCGTTCGTTCGTTCGTTCTTCGTTTTCGTTCCGTTCGTTCGTTTCGCTCTTTCCTTTTTCCCGTCCCCTCTGTCCTTTTTTCCCACTTTTGGTTCCCGTTTTTTTCTTCTTCCTTCCCTTTTTTCCCCTCCCTCCCCCCCTTCCTTCTCCTCCCTTCGTTTTCTGTTCCTCTACCTCCCCTTTTCCCTTTTTCCCCGAATAATTAAGTTAAAAGATATTTTTTTGTTAGTTAAGTAATTTTTTTAACGAAAATTCTTTTTTGAGCAAAAATTCTTTTTAATTTAATAGTGTGTTTTTCTATAATAATGGCTAATTAATTTGCAAAGTTTAAAGATTAGTTAACAATTGGAAATTTTTATTATTTAAAACAAATTAATAAATTATACAATATTACCTACATTTAACAATACATATACACATACAATTTTGCAATAAATATTGTGGCACAACGATTTTTTTTTTTCAATATGTTAAATTAATTATTAATTTTGGAATAAATTGGAAAAATTTAGTTTGTGGGAAAAAATTTCCATTTTAAAAAAATACAACTATATAAATTTGATTGTTTTAATATACAGTGTTTAGATTTTAAGTTTATTTATTGATTGATTTTCATTAAATTAAATTTGAAAATGGAAATAAGTTTTTAACAATTACTTTTGTAAGACTATAAGTATTAAAATAGTTTTCCATTATTTAGCAAAATATTTAAATTTTCGGATAAAAAATACGTTATTTTGGATTTAGAGAATATTTCCTTCGAACATTTCATAGTTTATGATTTCAAATATTTAAGTATTAAGAATGTGAAGCTATAACTTAATATTGCATATGAATCTTTAATATGTTTTCTATTACAATCCTTTTGAATAATTTCAAAATCTACCATAGTTTTAAAGTTACAAGATTTCTTAGCAATTACTAGCATATTAATATTAATCATACGCCACCATGAAGATATT